TATGGTTTCTTTGAATAATGAAGTGTTTTTATTACTCATTATTTGTATGAGTATCTTTGAATCCATATATACAGGATTTGCCTGTTGCATATAGAATGTCTCTGTTGTTGCATATAATGTGCATTCTGTTGTGAAATATTCTTCATCTTCAATTTTGGTACAGTTTTTACAATTCTGCTTTGTAGCGGTATTTTAGGTTTTTGATGATGACCAGTTTCAATTTTCAGTTTGTGGCAACTCATTCTAAATCTTGCAAATGTCCATATATGGTTAGCAATATGTAGATCAGGTCATACGAGTTAAATGTCTTCAATAAAGTACAGGTTGAATGTCTATATGCAATAGTCTTTCTCCAGATGATTTTAAACTCATAGTTGCTGTCGACATAGGAAGTAAAGTGTTTACTATAATTAGACATAGTCTTTACCTTGCCGTTTATTCGGTGTTATTTGCTTACTTCTCCAGATGATAGTTAGTATGCATTTTTACTGGGGTCACGTGACCATGTATGGTCATTAAATATCTAAACCCTCAATATAAAACAGTGTGAATGCTTCTATCTGTAAGTGCTTTTGATATGACTCTGAACAGACATATACATAATAATAATAATAATAATAATAATAATAATAATAATAATAATAATAATAATAATAATAATAATAATAATAACTTTATTGCATCCTTAGAAATACAATGTTTCTATCAGTTAATAGCGATAAAAATTAGTTGTGATAACTACTACTACAAAAAAAGTTAGTTGTTAATGGGATAAAGCAAGTGTTACATATCAAATGGCATTTTCATTCCTTGATTGAAATGCATTATGAATATAATTGCCAATTTTTTTTATTATTTTATCATCTTTTGAAGTCATCAAGAAATTAAATTTCTGGAGATCATCCTGTGTTTCTTCTGGAAATGTAATGTCTTGAATGATTTGTTGGCGTATTACTTTATATTGTGGATGTATCATGACAAAGTGCAGTTCATCTTCTATTTTATTCTGTGTACATTGTTTGCAAATTCTATTTTCAGTAGGTATTTTTGGTTGCATATGCCTCCCTTTTTCTATTGCTAGATTGTGATTACTAGTTCGAAATTTTGTCATTGAAATTCTTTGCTTCAAATTCAACACATCCAAGTATTTTTCAAAATTATAAGAGTCTTTGAATTTTTGATAAGTTCTCAGTTTTGTTTTTTCGGTTATATTTTTTCTCCAGAAATTTATGTATAAATTTATGTCTTTGATGTATAAAGTAGTATCACCATAATTTACAGCGTGCAGTAATTTTGCCGTATTGCACTGCGTATTTCCATCCTACCATATTAGGAAACACGAATTGCAAATATGGAACAATTATGCGTGTAAGCGTCCTCTGATAATAAAAAAACAAACATGACTGCCCCCAGGGTTTGACCGGACTCCACACAAAGAAGTTCGCTGATTCTGTTCTAAACGTTTTGGATTTGGTATTCCCATGATGTTACTATTGTATCTTTGTAGGAAAAGATGTATAATAATAAGGTTATTACAAGGATACTGCAAAGTATGAACTCAGACGGTACGTGGTTGCATCGACCTTCGCCGTGCGTCGGTCAATATTCCTGCTGTACTGTCTTCGTGCATACTTTGCAGTATCTTCGTAATAACCTCATAGTATGTGTCATATTTCAAATGGAACAATTACGGTATTGGCAAGATATCGGGGTCAGATATCATTAGTAAATCGCCGAACATCACCAAGCATTTATGTACATTCATCTGTGATCGAAGGGAATTAACAAGTTCATTGATTCCATTGATGTCTTAACATACTACAGAGAATAAGTAAAAATTATTGATCACAATGATATTCACTTTAAAACTTGTAAGTTTTTACGAAATGACAAAGCTAGCTGATAGCCATCTTGCAATTTAAGTTACGCCAAGACTGCGCTGTAGCCCAGCAATACAGGAGTTTCCCAAGGAGTAGTATTTCACATCGGCTTTCAGGTGTCATTTACAGAGCCACTTTTCTAATAGAGAGAAGATACTGTGGAATATTTTATTTTCGCTGGAATTAATTTTCGCTGAAAAGGCTTTTTGGGCGTTTTGTATGGAATTTATTTTCACTGTTTTTTGATGATTTTAATGTGAAATATAGGAAAAAAGGTATATTCGCTGGATTTTATTTTCACGGAATCGTGCTTTCAGCGAAAATAGCGAAAATAAACTCCAAGCAAAAATAAAGTATTCTACAGTAGTATCATGAAAAATTGCAAAATTGTTTAGATTCATGGAGCATAGAATTCAATTTATTTACACTGTAATAATTTGAGTCACCAACTGTCAAGCAGCACAAAATGCTTTTTCCACCTGGTGGTCATTTACTTATTGACGTTAGTCAAAAACACTGTGATACCTACCATACTGAATTCAAAGTTCAATGACAACATTATTAAACAAAACAATATAATTTTATTTATTTGAGAGAAATTAATAATTGTCACATTTTGTTTCCATGGTTACAGCCGTACAACCGGAGGAAGTAAACCAGGCAATAGAAGAAGGTGAGGTTCTTGTAGAGCCGAAGTCTAGCAGTCCATGCGAGCCTGTGATCAGGAGACGAGGCAAACAAGGAAAAGTTGTATCACCTGGAAGCCCCGTGGAGGAAGAGAAGGCAGGGGGTGATGGTGCTACTGAACTGAGTCTGATCGAAACCAAGTAAGTTGGAAATTACGGTAAATTGGTTGAAATATTCCTGCTGTGTTTCTGTTCATGATTATTAAAAAAGTCACAAAGTAGTAGATTTTGTGAGATAACGTCTTTTCTGATGGAGAGTAAATACATCTTTCTTATGCATCAAGGTTCGCTAGTGAAGAAGAGTTTCTATGACACGACTATCGTTCAAAGCATTGATACCATTTTGATTTGTAGTTGTCCATTAGTGAAGATATGTTTGAGAGATTTTACAATGTTCTGGATGACAAGCGACTACGTTATCAAACACAATATTCAGTTTGACGTTATAAAAGTACTGCGTCACTAGAGAGCGCGATTTATAATAATAGTGTACACAAGTTCTTCCAATGAGAAAATAAATTACTGATAATATAAATGGAATTCATATCAGTCATAAATGCAAAAATCACAACTGTTTTTTCTTCTTTCTGGTCATTTGCCAATCAATGTTTGTCTTTTGCCAATTTTGCATGGGAATTCGATGCACGTGTTTGTAACATCACAGATTGGTGTTTCCCACTGAGTTGATTGGAGACTAGGGATTTTTTTAACAAGGAAACAAGGGCGCAGCGCCCTCATGCAATGGCCATGGTCCCCTTACCCTGGGGAGCAGATCCTCTGGCAACAATAAAATTCAGAATGACCAGGGATCATATGTGACCACAGTCTTCAACTGTGACCTGTCTGATAGTAATTTTGGCCCCAAGGAAGCCATAGAATGCTCCATTTTAACTTAGAATTATCAAAAACTCTACACCCTGGTAGAGAGAAGCCTATCACCCCCACTTTGTGGCACTGCTGAATTGAAGTGCTCCTACTTGCAGTTTTTTCTAGAAAAACCTCTGGAGACTATGCGTGGATCATCAGACCTTACTTTCCATGGCGATCAATGTATATGGTGATAAAGTCAGTAATATACAAAGAAATAGTTGAATTGGCAGTAAATGGCCTTGATGCTATAAACATGCTCCAAAAAATAACAGAAAATGTCCTGTCTAAACTAAACATCAGAATCTGGAGTTTCCCTCAATAACGTGCATAATTGTTAGTAAGAACATTATTATGATAAACCCATTTTGTAAAAATATTTTTCTTTGCATTTTTGTGTTCACAGTAAGATTCGAGAGGATCTCGGCCTGAGACCCCTACCAGCTGAGAAACTATCACCGGCCAAAACGTTGCGACATCACGCACATACCAGCAAAGCTCGGGTAAGTGACATTCTGTGGAACTCTAAAAACAACCTGCCATCTCCCTTCAATATAGTTATTTGCTGGCATACAGTCATGTTTTTTAAAAAAAAGAGATGCTCCATTGGTAGTGCATAAATTATGATAATATTTAAATGATCCGGCATAAACAAATGTGATTCTTATTTTATATGTTCTTCAATTGAAGATATCCTTCTAATAGAATAAACACAGTACCATCTTTGATTTGTACTGTAAAATGACTAATTTTCACTGGGTTTAAATTTCGCTGATTTACCATTTCAGGCATATTCAGAGGGTTTTTAAATTCACGGTTTTATCATTTTGATAATGTGTTCTATTCTAAATTTTACATATTCACTGGGTTTTAATTTAGCGCATTTTCTATTCAGCGAAATAAGCAAAATTAAAACCCAGTGAATAATTAACCCTTTACAGTAGCACATGTGCTTATGTAATTGACATAAGTACATCTCCTATTTCCATAAAACAAAAATTGCATGTATTGTATGCTGGATTATTAAATGGTGAATTCATTATTTTGACCAAAGACGTACCTCTGTCAGGTTTTTTTTAGGAAAAAAACTGCAAGAGGGAGCACTGCAATTTAGCGATGCCACCAAGTAGGGGAAATAGGATTCTCCCCACCAGGGTGTGGAGATTTTGATAATTCTAAGTTAAAAGCGTTCTATGGCTTCCTTGGAGCCAAAATTACTATCAGACAGGTCACAGTTGAAGACTGCGGCCACATGTGATCCCTGGTCAATCAGAATTGTATAGTTGCCAAAGGATGGCCATGGCATGAGGGCGCTGCGCCCCTGTTTCCTTGTTTAAAAAAAATTCCTGCTCTGTCATATATGTATATAAAGACGTCTTATTACATTTGAAACTTGAACTTTTGGTGGTAATTGGATACAAGGGGTATAAATTGGTATTTTTGATTGAGATAACTTTTATTTTATTACAGAATGCTAACATTGTATCCGCTGTATTGTCACTTGTCAAAGAACTTGACCATGATAGTCTGCAGACGGTGATGAACGCATGCAAAGACCGGATGGAAACATTTTAAATATGTTAACCCACACACCCCTATTCAAGTAATGTTATTACCCATACTATTGTAAAATACTTTATTTTTGCTGAAAAGACTTTTTCGGTGTTTTGTATGGAATTTATTTTCACTGTTTATTGATGAGTTGAACGTAAAATGTACGAAAAAGGGTATATTCGCTGGATTTTATTTTCACTGAATCATTCCTTCAGCAAAAATTAATTCCAAGCAAAAATAAAGTATTCTACAGTATAATGTTGTATTCTATTGATAGATTGCACTATTTACAGTACAGTCTGAGTGTAAATTATCATTAAGCTAGATTTAATCTGGCTTAAAGCTACTTTGGCTTTAGATTAGCTTAGCCACATAACTGAATTAAGTGAAGTAATCTGCCTAAATATGTCTCATATCAGTAATATAGGTAAATACTACAAAGACCAAGTTGAAATTATTAATGACAATGATACTCACTTTTTTTTTATAAAAAAGCAAAGCCAGCAGAGTGTAGTCTAAAAGACTGATAAATATAATATAT